AAAACCGTTCTTCTCAGATCCGGCTGCCCCGGCTCGGGGAGTTGCCCCGCTGCCCCGTGGTGAGCCGGAAGTCCTTCAAGGTGGCATTTACGGAAATCGCCGGGGCAGGGGGGGGGGGGGGGGGNNGCGGTTTTTTTGGGGAGCCCTGGGGGAGGGGGGGGGTCAAAGGGTTCTGGTGGGGTTTAGGATTTTTTGAGGGTCTTGTTGGGGGGGTTGAAGGGTTTCAACTTTGGAGCTGAAGGGTCGCAGAGCTTTCGCCTGGAAGGGATGTACGGGGGATGTCAGTGCGAACATGCAGACACCGGAAGCTTTCATCTGCAGCTTATTGTGTCGGTTTTGCACAGACAAATCACCAAAAAACAAACTCCCCAAACGACCCCTAAACCCCCGAATCCCAAACCACACAACCCTGCAGCCCTACACACACTGCGAGGCGTCGGACCGCGTGCTTGGCTGCCCCGTGCCCGAGTACGCCGACGTGCTTCGGGTCGTCCAGGCACTCTCCGGTGCCCACACCACGTTTCTAATGGCATGTCCTGAGCCGGTTATAGTCTGACTCTTTGAAGCCTTTTATCTTATAGTAAGATTGATTCGATACTTTTGTATAGAAGTCGCACAAGAGTTCGCAGAAGCCGCGTGTTAAGGGCCACAGATGGTTGAATCAGGTTCATCGGTGGATCAAGCAACCACCACGAAAACATCTGCAACGCACAGTACGACATGATATGGCCTGACCCTAAACATCACACTCTGTCATGTCATGTTTTATGTCTGCTATTTTGTATGTTATAAGACTGACCCATAGTATTTGCTCTAACATCTTTGTTGTGTCCCAACTTGCCCAGGCCCAGCTCGTGATGGGTCACCACTGGCCGGTCGAGATGCCTTGGACTTCGATGCTTTGCTCATTGCTTTGCTGGTGACCACCGCTGGATTCATGGGTTGGGGGGGCTGAGGGCTTTGGGGCTTAGAGCTCAGTGGTGGAGACGCTCTTCCGTAAACCCGCCCTTGCAAAGAGTGGCAATAGCTGGTTTCGCCGTTTTGCTGTTGAGCGAGTGTGCCAGGTTCCTTCCATACCTACTGCTCGTGGCCGCAGCGGTGCCAGCCGCGGTCTTTGCTCTCCACAGAGAGGCCCAAGCGAAGTTGCGAGATCCACATTTCCTGCTGGTCTTTGCCGTCAGAGACTCCAATACCCCTTAATTAAGGAATATACCTTAAATAATAATAGGATCCCTAATATGATTTAAGGTATATTCCTTAACTAAGGGGTATTGGAGTCTCCGGGTCCTGTCGCCCTGTCAATGTCCCCGGCCTTAGAGATTGAGCCCTGCCTCGAATCCTTCGCAGGCCTTCCTTGTGATCGCTCCCTTGGCCCTGGCCTTGCACGTTCTGCAGGCGCCGGCAAGACAAGGGCTTGGGGGATTTCAAGCGCACGATTCGGTGGCCGGAGTTCGTGGTTCGCGATTTGCCGTCATCCCCTTCTTGGCATCCGGCGTCTCTGTTGTTCCAGCTTTGCCGGGCGATGGGCCCCTGAGACCTGGCTCCTCCACGTCTTGATGGAGCCTTGCTAATGGCTGCGACGGTGCACGGGTTGGAGGTGTTTCGGGAATAACCATCATGCCACAATACGTATCGTAGTATCATAATATCATAATCATAGGTTGCGTCAAGCGGGCTTCTTGTCTCAACAGGTCCTCTTGGATAGAAGGGGGTCTCTGAGTCCCTAGGGTAGACCAAAATCCCGAGCCCGAGTGCCTTGAAGGGATCTCTGGCCAAACCAGAGCAATTACAAACGCTTGAGGCCTGCTCCCCAATGTAACCCCAAGGGGTCCTAAGTATCTACAGAGTAGAACGTAATTAGGGTTCTTAGGACCCTTTCGGTAAGCAAACCCCCCACAAACCCTAAACCCCTGAACCCTAAACCCACCAACCCACCAAGAAACGAAGAAGGGAAGTCCCGAGACGACAGGCCCTCCGCCGAGGGCTCTGGGATCGCCGGCTCCTGGTATCAGCCAGGGGCCCTGGAGGTGCTGGGAGGACTTCGTATGACTTCGTCGGAAGTTTCGACGAGGCTTTAGGGTTTCTGGGGTTTAGGACCAGCAATACTACATGACATGAAGTCATATATGAATAGTACTCATCATCAGCGGCCTTTCCGGGTTGGCTGAAGATGTTGTGGTTATAGACTCTTGCCAGCTTCAAGGCATGAGGAAATAGAGGAGTTTAGCTGTTCAGAGGTCCTTCTTTACAGGTTGGGCTCTTGGGCCATGAGGAGATCTGGGCCCTCGCAAGGCGAACAGCCCCAAGCTTCGGAGCTCCCGGAAGAGTGTGACTTTAGGGTAGTTCTCTCAATTAAGGTCCCTTTCTTCGGGTCCCTTTTTTCAGGGTTTCGTACTAGATTTGGGACCAAAATAGGGACCCTAATTTGGAGAACTACCCATCTTATGTTGATTCTGGCAATTGGAGGTAGAGGCAGACCCCATTAAACCTCATGGCACGAGGTCGATCAGGCGGCTGCTGCTGACCTCAGGGATCAGCTGAGGGCACCCCTCGGCTGGGGCGAAGAAGGCACGATCAGGGTGCTTGACCTGGGCTTAAGTAGGTTACAATAAAGCGCCCACTCACTGGCATCCCAGTTTGGCAGAGCCCGTCACAATATAATCAACACAATGGCTCACAATGGTGCACGGGTGTATGTCCTCCCCAGACATCCCTCGTTTCATCGTTTCAGAAAGCGCAGGTCAGCTCTTCTCCGCAAACCTGAGTGCGGCCCTGCAGGCTGGGTTTGGGTCTGCGAGCGGCTTTCGCACAAGTGACGAATCCTCGAAAGAGCTGAATCATCTAGAGATAGCTAGTGAATCTATGGAACTTGCCTTGCACTTTAGTGAGGGAGTGGCCAGCCCACCATCCTCGCGCATCCTCGAGAAGATCTAGCAAGAGTTCAATACTCCGAGCCCCTCGATGCGCGCCGGGAAAGCGCCACCCAAATCTCTGTGGTGGGCGTCCCTGCAAGATTCGAGTCTGAGTTGGGTTTGGGCACTTGGCAAGACGGCGGATTTTAGGGAGTACATGGCAACGCCTGGCTGAGCATTCCAGTCCAACAAGCCTCGGTGTAAATTGCAGATGGATGCAGAAGATAGATCAGCAGCAAGGGTTCCAGTCTAGGAGGGCTGCCTGACCTGACTTCAAGCATTCAAAGATCCTTAAAGCAAACGAAGACAAGCTAAAGTGTCGCTGAATGCAGGCCTTCAACTTGGCCCCGAATGCTCTGCTTCTTCCGGCCCCAGGCATATTTGACCCTTTTGGGGCTCGATTTGAGGGTTGGGTTTGGGCCACTGGGATTCCTCGTATCCTGTAGATCCTTGCGTCATTGGATGCTTTCGGCCTGAACTTGACATGAAACCCGTAGACCCTCGCCGAAGTGCTGCAGAGGGACAGCTTTAGTTCGGACTCTGGTTTGGGCGAGGCCTGCATCGTGGCTATGGTCGGTGTGTATTGCAGGGTCAAAGCCAAAGCTTTGGCCACTGCGTGGCCGGCTCACCAGGATGTAGGGAGTACTGTGCGAGATCCTCTCCGGCCGGACCATCCTCTTCAAAACGCTCTCCACATTCTGACGGGGTCAACTCGTGGTTTGGGCTTCGGTGGTGGGTTCGGCGTATCCGGAGCACGTTTCAAAATGGAGGCCGCCGGGCGTGGATGCGCTCGTTGCTGTGGCACCCTGAGTTGTGGGATTTTTGACTAAGGCTGAGTCCAACCGGATGGTATATGGAGATCAGTGGTGGGGGTTCTGCCCGGGTTCAGACCGTGGCTCGGAGCAGGGATGCAAGAATGTCGAGCATGTGCACCGTCTGATGAGTTTCTTGCGACCGGAGCTTTCATCTTGCCGAGAAACCCGTACACTCTGACTCGCAGGTTCGCCTTGTTTCTTCTGGTGCCTGGGGCGGGACTGCGGATCTCGTTCCTGGATGTCGAACCGCCACCACTCTGGAGCGAGGCGTCATCCTCAGAAAATAAACCTGGACATGATGGGAGAGAGGACAGTATGCCCAGCAGGGAGGCAGGGGGCGAGACGAAGAGGCAGGAAGAAGAACAACCCGCTTCCCTTCCACCCCAGAAAGTGCGCAGAGGTACCTCACCTCTCAACCGGCAGAGAAAAATAGAGTACCAGGCAGTCGGTGGCAGGCTGCAAAGTGCTGCCGGGCACCTCTCATGGCTTTCAGGTCGCTTTGGTCGCGCTTTGCTCCCTGATCTTGCTGGCAGTGCAGTGCCGTCCTTCGCAGGCTTGACCTGACAGTTTCAAGTAGGTCGGTCGGGATTTTGAACTTTTCAACATTCGATGAGTCTGCATGATTCGTTTTCGTCCGAAGGCGAACGACCAGAGAGGGTTTGAAACCCGCTACAACAGGTCATACTAAGCCATCATGGACATGTTGCTTCTCACCGTTACCATGGTTAGCTCAGTTCAAACCAAGATGATGACTGGTACCATCATTGTCCTCATGCGCATAGCAAAGGCTGAGCCATTGCCTTTTCATCGCTACTGGTGTCCTGGTGATGGGTATTGCTATGTGCAGTGTTGTCATTGGTTTTAAAATGTTTTCTTGAGTGTTGTAGTCAATACTCTTACCGCGAGGATGATTCTGACGGCATTGCTAAGGAAGAAGCATACTTCCTAATGGTTTCGTCATGTGAAAGTACTGCCGTGATTGTTTATGTTGCTTTGAACAGGGGATGGGCTCTATGGTGTCATTGTCTCTTCCTGGGCCTACCAGGGCTTGTTCGTAAGACGTGCAAACCTCGTGGCTCAGCTCCCGTGCCCGACACTCTGCCTCAGGCCCCAAACTTCCGAGTCCCTGAACTCAGCCCAGACCCTGAAACTCGAAGCTCCAGACTCCTAAACCTTGAATACTCCCCAAGCCCCAACCCATCGACCATACATCCCTGAACTGTAGACCTTGATCCTCCAACCGAAAGCGTCAGATCGCTGAACTCTACAGCCCAAATCCTACATGAATCATGAGTCTGACACTGGATTCCAGGAGCTTCCACGTTCAGAGCTCGTCGACCAGCGTTTGGAGGCGAAGAGGGGAAGACGGGGTTGGAGATCCTTCGGTCATGCCTGGGATTCTTTATGCCTTTCAGGTTTTTTTTGGCGTTTAGGATTCACGGATTAGGTTTGGGGTTTACTTAGAGTTTAGGAGATGGGCTTCTCGATTTCCAGGGTTCGAGCAGGAGATTGTGGGCATGCCTCACACGTCTTCTGCAACTGACGGCCCTGCACTTTTGCTTTGTTCGAGGCCCTAGGCCCCAAGCCTAAAAGCGTACTCAAGCTTCAGCCCCAAAGGCTCTGGAGGCCGGTTTCAATGCGATGCTCGACACGCTGCGGCCACTGCTTGGCCAAAGCGGCAGGCGCAGTGACGTGACCATGTCAAAGCTCGTCTCCAGTGAACCCTTTTTTGTTATTTGGTCGTGATCCCTTTACCCTTAGCATCTGCAGCGGTGCTGCTGGCAGGCCGACATTTGCCAGTCAAGCACAGGCCAAGGCAGGCATCAGATGGCGGCAGAAGCAAGTGTGGAACACTGCTGCTAGGTGTTATTGCTGTGTCGCTTGGGCTGTTGATCCCAACGAGTGCGAGCTAGGCAAGCAGAAACTGCATCCCAAAAGGGATTGGATCTGATTTGTTCATAGGGGCTCTCACCATGTGTCCTTGCCCAGGTCCCAGGGAGAAGCTAGCAGAACATGTCAATGACTTTGGTGCCTGCGTCAGGTTCCAGGGGGCATGGACCAGCCCGCTGTGCTCGAGCGTTTCGGTGTGCACACCTTAGATGCTTCAGCCTGCGCAATGCGAGGGACCGTCCCCTCGTGTCCATGTTGAAGTTGAGGTTGAATCCAACCATGGTGGCAGTAATCGGAATTTCGCAACGGCACTTCCGCTGGAAGCTTGCAGGTAGAGACAGGTTGATGTTGACGATTCGTCGCACCTCTAAGGAGATCTCGCCAGCTTTGGAGTACGGCTTTAACCGCTGTTTGCCAGTACAGCCACCGTTGCTACTGAGTCCAAGGTGAGGTTGATCACCGCGGAAAGGTTCACGCTCCGAGGGAGCCTCACAATTCTGCAGGACATCCTTGGCCCAATGGGCCAGAGCTCACAGCCCTTCAAAGTCGATGCATGCTTGGGCGAATGCTAGCAAGCGAAGCATTTTGTAGTTCAAGGGGCATCACAAAGTGTTGTCAGCACATATCGGAAGATGTGCCTAACAGCTCCTCCCCAATCATTGGATAGCAACTTGTGCACAGCTCGCTCTTTTGAGGGGCCTCTCTTCCCGGTGCCCCAAGGCCAAAATCCCGGACTGTCAAAGACCTCCACCCTTGCTTAGGTTCATTTTCGCGACCTGGCAAACGACCTGTAACCCGGAGGGACACCACAGACGAAGCCAGCCATTCCACGCAGACCCCGCAACCCACCACGCAACCAAAAGCCGCGCGCGTGTGTGTGTGTGTGTGTGTGTGTGTGTGGGTGCGTGCGTGCGTGCGTGCGTGCGTGCGTGCGTGCGTGCGTGCGTGCGTGCGTGCGTGCGTGCGTGCGTGCGTG